TGCATATTTTAACGTACCTCGAAGTGATAATAAAAGTAAAGCTAAATTAATTCATGCAATTGAAATCCCTGTGATACTGACCCTCATGTTGAATTGCAAAATAAATAATTGAAGTTAATGACTCAAGGATGTTCTTTGCCTCAATAGAATATGGGACTAATAAAATAGTACAGTGGGTACTTTTCCCCTTTGGAATGTGGTACATGTACACAATACCTACTGCAATCGATGCGTTAGAGAAAGCACGAGAGAGTAAATTAAATGAATGATTCCTTTTCCCTAGCACTGATTTGGAAATGTATTTAGAAAATATTAATATTATTGGTTAATTGCACTTCACAAATCTTTAAAGTTAAATATTTTATTTCGTAAAAGAGGCATCTTGACTTTTGTGAATTTGTTACCCTTGATTCAAGTCATAAAGGATATTCTCACAGATAAATCTTGAATTCATGTGATTGTCTCATGAATAAACAATAAAATCACAAATATCCTTATATTTTTGACAATCAATGATAATTTATAAAAAAATATTTATTGCACAATATGAACTTAGAGGTAGCTCTTATAGCGTATTATTATACTCTTTGAGAGGTAGAGGTTTCAGTGAACAGCGTTGCCAGATGTCCCACTTTTTAAGACCAAAATCGACTGTCGTGCGTGGTACAGCCGAAATCACGCTTAGTAAGATATTTCAGTTTGAATGGTATAATACAAAAAAATACAAAATAAGAAAAAGAAAACAAGAAAAAAGCGCGCGAAAGAAGTCTCTGTGACAGTAGCCGGTGAGTCGGTCGTCGCGTGATGCAATGAGATGAGTCGGATCGTCTGGTGAGCAGGTCGCCGAGATATTTTTGTCGACGCCATCGCAGATCGCAACACACTCTTAATTTTTAACGTGATGTATGCTCGCTTATGCATATTGGAAATCTCAAACATCCTACTTGGAAAATAAACTGTACTTTACTTCTGTGCTGATATTTCTTCACGCTTTGTTGGAAGATATAGTTCTTCGGACAGTTTGGATGTCGGCGCAAGAACACCCATTAAGAAAATTAAACTAGGAAAACGTCAGTTAACAAATTACAACATTAAATGGTGATTATAGGGCTGTGCGAGGTAAAGTCAAAATAGTATAAAACCAGTTGTCGACTGAGTAAGAAAGAGTGGAGCGTTTCTCCATTTTTTTAATAGACATATTTATTTTTCATTCGGAAGTACATAGTTTAGTTTAGATCACTTTTTCATATGTATTGTATTGCTTACAACTATTCTTATTTTCTAATCTATAAACTAACACCTGGACCTACTGGGAGGGTTAGGAAGCTACAATCTGTGCCTACTATTCACAATTGTGGGAGAATATGTTTACGAAGGCGTTGAAAGAGTTTTTTATTCGTGTTGGAGAATAATCTGTTGAGGCGAGTTTGTAGTGGCTTACGTGTGGTATAGAGTTGATATTTTAATAAAGTTATTGAAGAGATGGGCTATGTGTTTAATGATGGATTTTATATTGTTTGTTGGATATAAACCATGGTGCGTGAGTTGTTAAACGGAGAAATATATTTTGCATTATTAGCAGTTGTTTAATGGTTGTAGCTGATTCATTCGTCCATACGAGGCATTCGTATAACATTAATGGTCTGATTTATTGTTTTATATAATGTTGTGGCATTGTCTATTGATATGCAGCTTTTGGAGTCGTTTTTGGGTAATTTTGCGCAAAATAAAGGCAATTTTTAAAAAATTATCAAAAACGCTCCAAATTTTATTAAAAAATTTCTCCACGCATGAAATAACGACGTTAAAAAATAATGTGTGCCATTTTTGGATATTGGTTGGTTTTTTGAAAATTCCAAAACGTCAACAGTTCAACACTACAAAATGGAAGACGGGGATTTTTGTCTTGAACAAAATCTGTTCTAAAAATCAGCTTATTTAAAAAGGTTATGTACATTTGTTTAAAAGAAATTGGTATTTTTCGACTAATTTTTGCTTGAGATCAATGTCATGTAGGGATAATATAATAATGGTATACCGGTGTCCCACCAACGACAGGCCTCAGAAAAATTCTTGGAGAACACGAATGGAACGAAAATACATTAAAAATACTTTAATTTAAAATACAATTTACTAATGAAAATCCCTATATTAATTATATTTTTACTCTATTCACAATTTGTATTCTGAAGGTATTGTATAATGAATTCTCTTTTAATCAATCCGCAAAACTTAATTATGAAATTTGTGCAACAATTCCGCAATGGGTATTTGAGAAATTCATTGTTGAATGGCAAAATGGAGGCGGCGATAAGATAAAGCAGATATATTTACAGTTGAGCTTGTGTTACATGTTTACAAATTAACCTTTTAGAAATTATTTGAAACCTATTTGATAATTCACCCTTTTTGTTCATGTTGCCAGGTATAGAACATACATATTTTTGTGTCAGCATATTTCATCATTTCACCGCCAATCTTAGAGGAGATATCTCTACTCAATGCCACCAATACATATTACTGTCTTTCAAATTTTCAATGAGTATAAAGTAATACAGTAGAACGTCGAATATCCGTTTTTTATAAAAAATAGGTTCGCTTTTTTAGGTAAACTTTTTGTTAGTTGAAAATTAAACAAGGGTTTCCTAAACTTAAGGATTTATTTTACATTTTGACATACTAAACACGTCGCTGTTTCTCGGCTATGGAACGCTAAAGGGTTCATTTTACTGTTTGAAATGTTTATTATATAAAATGAGTTTGGCCATAACAACTACTTTTCACAAAAATGAAAATAAAAACTTTGAATCAAATTATTATAAACTTAATTTTTGTATTCCCTGTGCTTTGCTTGAGGCGGTGTAACCATATAATAAGGCGGTAAAAAATAACTTAAATATTATAAAGATTAGTAATAGAGTTAGTTATTTACCATCTGTATATGGTTTTTGTCAAGAATTTATAGGAAAAACGTTTGCCATGTATATATGCCAAACGAATAGCACATAGTTTTGACATCCCTGCGCTGGTAACAGTACGCAAAAGAGAATTTCTGGACTAAAAGGATGAGAAAACTATACACTGTGTGAAAGTCTGTGACATTGAGTATCATCACATTCGTTTATCAAAAAGCTTTGGTATATAATATGAAATTATAACTATTATTTGCTTATTTCACCTTTTAGTCTGTCTTAATTAATTATGATTTTGTGAAGGGTTACGGTCCATATTTTTTGACATTTTCCGAGAGTCAGGGGAAGTTAAGAGAAGAAAAAGGGTAGGGGGAAAGATTTGAAAACACCAGTAAGGGAGATCTATTTTTTCAACTGAAATTAGAAATAAATTTATGTTTCAGTTTAGAATAGTTTGTTGTAAAACTGATTCACTAGTGTGTCTATCACGAAGTTGTATTAAAAAATTTCGTAGTATAGTATTCATATAGTTTAAGTATAGTATACATACGTACAGAATAAATTCGTACTGTGGTACAATATTTAACAAAAAACTTCCATCATAAACTGATAAAATACTTGTCCACCTGCAAAAGTATATACTGAATGCTGTCGTTGAAAGTACGTCGAAAACACCAAATCCCTCTGTATTCGTATTGTGAGTATATAGAAGTATTTGTTGGAACGCAGGATGTAATAAAATATACTACATACCTCGTGCTGTGGTACGTCATGTGAACTACTCTGAAGCAATCAGCTTGCGAGGATTTGTTTACTTTCTTACAGCCAGGGTTCACTGTTGCCGTTCATCTGACTCGTGCGAAGTCGCAGAGGCGATAAGATTCGGCTTTGGCGAAAGCTATGAACAAGATATCAAGACGTGTCATATCCTGTTAGTAAGTGTTAATGTCTTGAGATTTAATTTATCTGTGATGGTGTCATGTGGGTAAAAAGTGTGACAACAGCGCATTGATCTGTCAGATTCGCTTAAACAATGCCGGTTCAGTAGTGCCTAAGGATTGTTATTTCACCGTGGTTGAATCATTAGCAAATTATATACTATATAACCTCGAAATGAAAATTCGTTTTGAAAACGGAAATATTAAGTACTGTCACAAAAGTAATTATCATTTGTATATATCACTTTTTAAAGTAAATATGCCTATCTAATGGAATGAAAGTTCTGTGGCTACAGTTAACAGAGGCTTATTTTCTCTTGGGATAATATAAATAATAGACAATTTGTTAACGAATGGCTTCAACAAAACCATGTGCTATTTATTCCAAAATAATTAAGGTAGTACTCGTACATGCAATTCAGAAATTTAAATCACGTTCTGTTTTAAGAGTACAATGCTAAATGAAAAGCTCAAACGTAAATTCGAAAACCCATTAGAGAAAGAAAAATCTCTAAATGTACCGCGGTTACAATAATGAGATTGCGTGTTCTCTTTACTGACATCTCAAATTTAATTGGTAATGAAACAAACAACTGTGTATCACGGTTTATTAGCTCCATAAGCATTTAGCCCTCTGTTGTTGGTACTCGTATTGAATTGAAATCATCAGAATTGAGAGTTAATAAATTTAATTCAATATTTTTTTACAAACAAACAAAGTAAATGATAAGTTTTAACGATAATTGTCATGACACTTTCACAGACACACATAAAGGTTGAATGTGTAATATTACTGAGAGTATCACCTTTCCTTTAAGATTAACATCTTGTAGATATAAAATGTTCATTTCTCTTGTAATGCAAAATAATGTATACGAATGGCTATGGACATAGATTGCAAAGATGGTTGTTTTCAAGCGCTATTTCGTTAACTTTTTAAAGAAAATTATCGTTAATGTATTTGAGTACAGGCGAAGAAGTATTTTGGTTCACAAGTAATATCGTTATATTGGCATACTTGCAACGCAAAAACAGTTGATGGTCTTCTCTTTTTCTTTACTTAGTCGGCGAATTGGTCTTGGCTCATCTTGAATAGTTTCTCTGCAGAGTGGAAAAATTCGTGCTCTCAACTCGAAGTAAAAATTTCAACATGTCTTCTACTTCTCAGAAACACCGAAATTTTGTGGCAGAACCCATGGGGGAAAAGTCTGTCACAGAACTGGCTGGAATTGGAGAGATTCTAGGGAAAAGATTTGTTACTCTTGGATTTGACAAGGCAAATATAGTATTAGGCCAGTTTCTTTTATTGAAGAAAAACAAAGAACTGTTCATTGACTGGATGAAGGATTCCGTTGGTGCAAATACAAAACAAGCAGGTGACTGTTACCAATGTCTTTCAGATTGGTGCGATGAATTCTTATAAAGTCTTATGAGTCTTTGTTTAGTGAATGTTTTTAAAATGTATTTTTGTAGTGGAAAGTAATTAAAACAGTATTGTGAATGTTGAAGATATCATCTTAATGTTGAAATATATTTTTGCAAGTTTGTCAATTTGTTTCGCAGAAGAGTTTAGGATTGTTCTTGTAATTGGTGTATACTTCATTCAATACGCTTCAGAAAATTTCCATTATGGTATTACTTTAGATGTAAGTATGTAATACAGATAAATGATTCCTTCTCCTTATGGTACTTGTGTTGATTCACAATAGAAAAGTAGTAGATACTTAAGTCGACAGTTGAAAAAAAGTGCGTAGGAACATTTAAAAAAACATTTTATTGAAGTGAATACATCCAGCAAGCATGAACTGAATTCTAGATATATTATACTAACTGATAATCAATTGAAAATTGTGTTTTATTATTATTATAAGTTTTAGCTTCATTATGTTTATTAGAAGAAATCATTACAAGATATTTTTAGTTCATTCGCATTACATGTAAAAGACAATTGCAATGACAAAACAAGGTGATAGAGCGTATCAATAGTTTCATTATTTGATATGAAGATTTCATATTTCAAATGTATATGAGGAGGTCAAAACGATACGAAAACAATACAATAGTATAAGTATGCTAGTTACGAGTTCGTTCAACGAATTGAAATACTCATTATACTTTGTTGCATTGTAATTCATAAACCAAAGATACAGATGTTATCCCTCATTAATTTACAAAAAGTTCAAGTGCAATTTATTAAAGAAGAGAACTTGAGATTATGAGCTTTGAACGTCTCTAAATTTTATTGTGGGGAATAATAATTCTCATACAGTTAAAGTTAATGTGTTGTCACCAGCTTATTAAAATAAAAAAAACAAGAAAACTAACAAAATTAATTAATTTGTTGTATCTATAGACCTACCTTTTATGTTGTTTTTGAAGTAAACACTGCAGCTTCAAAAGATCCATTCTATTTTCACAAGGAAAACATGTTTACTTGCTCGTCACCGCTTACGCAGTACAGAGAATCTTGTGTAATGCGAGAAAAAACTGGGGGTTTTCAACTTAAAAACTCTTTTTTGCGAAATTTAGAAAAAATACACTCTAAGACGTAGTTTTGTCAAAATCCATGTTTTGTGAGTAATTAGTATGGAAAAATTGAATGACGGCAAAACGTCTGTCTGTTTGAGAACAACGCTAGTGGCTATGATCAGCCGAGTTTCTCCAAAATTGATAGTCCAATCGATTTGGCACATGTCACGACTCCTTGAATTTGAAACCGGTATTATAATTTTAAGGGTACTTTACACGAATCACCTAGGAAGGTTTCAAAACAATGGCTCCAAAGTTTTTGATTAAAGTTTGTTGTTGGATAGTGTGACAGACTTTAAGATAATGGCGCAGGTCTCATGTTCGTTGAAAACCCTGATTTTTCGAAAATTTCAAAAGTTCTCAATTTTTAGGCGTCTTCCTTCAACTGTAATATTAAAAGTAGAGATTTTTCCTTTTATTAAATTTGTTCCTTAAAGATAAATTTTGAAATATGGTCATGTACAAGGTTTTCGAACATTTGAGTACTTATGACTTAATTTGCGTGAAAGTACTGGCGTGAACGTACGTGCTGTTTCAGCACCACTAGTTAAAACTAGTTTTGCGAGAAAATAGTACAGACTTTCTTCAACTAGTTAGTTTTCTAATATCTTAAGTCTGTGCAAACATTATGGTTTTGCCCCATCGCAGATGCTACGAATCGGCGCCTAAACATAGTTTTTCGCATTTTCTCAAGTTTACCGTCTGCTAATAGCAGTATTAGACTGTGACTTTACTAATGTTACAGAATAGATATATCTAGTCCTATATGCAAATTTTCATTGAAACATTTGGAGCTTTTTTTATGAAAATGTAGTTTGTTTCTGAAAATGCGCATTTTTATCACATTTTCACAAAAAATGTTGAGGTTTCGAGAAACTTAATTAGAACACCGTCAATCTTCTTATTAGTCTTTACGTATATTTAAATGTTTTTGGGATGAGAAATTCAATTTCGGATTTAGATATTTGCAATCAAATACAGTTTTTGAGGTATGAAATTTAATTTTGAGTTACAACGTGCAACTTGGCCACACAAATATATATAGTGTCAGTGATGATGATCTTCTACCTTCACACTAAGCTGGGTCTTCTGAAACAGTTTTTCAAAGTATTCACATAAAATAATATCGTCTATTGGTTGCAAAAATATAATAAAAATAGTAACATTAACTGCATCAAAGTTTTACAATAATTCAGATCATTGTATCAGTTTAGCAATATTAAGAGAGTTTAGTATTGCTTTGCTATTTTAAATCGAATTAAATATTTTATTTATTTGTAACTCGTTTTCGATCTCAAGATAGTTTCTTAGATTTTGGATAATGTGAGGTTTTGATAACATTCCTCCACATTTTGGACGAGTGCCTGGGTAGTTTTTTTCTTAATTAGATGGGAGTGTGTGAGGGAAGAATGGTCATTCATAATATTGTAATAATAACTTGTTCTTTTCTTAGTATTGTAGTTTTTGGGATGTTTGAGATGTTACAGATATTCGTACAACATGGAGTTTGGATGTTGAAGCATTACACTAGTGATCCCATATCTTATTAATACTGTTTTAAAGTTCCTATAAAGTAATTTAATGAACCATGTATATGCTGGTCAACGTTAAATAAATGGGTTGAGTTGTTAGCAGTTCCCACGACAGTAACACACTAAAATCTGTTTTTACTTTCCCATTTACATTCGTATATACGGAGTAATATATGTAGTATAGATTAAGTTATGTAATGCTGTGGAAAATCTATTTCGAGATTTTAACGGAAATACATGTTTTGAGGTCCCCTGAACTAAAAAAGTGGTTTATTTCCAAATGTCCGTATGTCTGTGAACACAGAACCTAAACTATGAGTAGGAGGTTTTCCAAATTGATCTCTAATGGCATTCCAAATTGGTCCAAAATATCTCTCAGGCTGGACTATGCATATTTCTATTAATGTGATTTGTAAACACTATTGCATTTGTGACGGGAATATCTTGAAATGACTTCATACGACAGTTTTCGAAAACACAATAGTTTTCTTTTAAAAAGTGCTTCAACACACACACATTCACAGTAATGCTTAATCACAATTTTCTTTAAACGACTGTAAATTTTTCAATAACAAGTTGTATACAGGACGAGGTTTTACTCTTCTTTAATATTCTTAAAGTATTAATTCGATTCTACTATTAAGAATTCGAAAATTTGAGAACATTTTTAGATGAATCTACGTTGGGCAGCGATAGATGGCAGCTATCAAGAGAATGTGGCAAGTCCTTATTCTAAATCAGAGAAAATATAAAACTAATACAGGAAAGCCTGTGCCATTCATTAGCACCACTAGTTTCTTTGTTATAAAGAAGATTTTGGGTGTATTGAATGATTGGATTATTGGAGAACCTAGTTTGTATAGCTCTGACTATTGTTATGGAGACAGAAAAAATGGCATTGTTAGTGTTGTCTACATTTTGGGTGCTATACTCAGTGGCTTTGAAGACTGCTCAGGCCTTACAGAAAAAAATAGAGAGGAAATCTCTAGAGGTGGAGGTGGAAGGAAGCGGGTGAAGATGTTCTGGGAGGAGAGATGGTTTTTTAATATCAAAATCTTTTTCATAGCCAAGAAGTCTTTCTCGAGAGGGGTTTGGAAAATTTGAAAGATACTGATATATTTCTGTTTTAAACTGACTGCTGATGTATTGGCTTGATGCGATGTTTGTAGAACAGAATCTTGTGTTTGCGTATTTTAAACATAAGGTTTTATTTCGCATGTTCAATTGCATTACACCATCTTAAATTAAAATAATATTGCAGGGCCTAGATGGAAATTCACCGAGGCATAGACGAAATGCAATGTTGCTGATGGAGTTTAATTGTTGCAATAAATTTCTAGGAGGAGCACTGTGCACAACTGACCAATAATCGAATTCAAATTAGTTCAAGGCTGCGTAAGTTCTTAAGAGCCAGCTTCATTAAGAACCCCACTTTTTAAATAACATTTTCATGATATTGAATCTTGATTTGCAAGTGGTTTTGAGATTGATATGAATTCCTTGAAAGTTTATGGTCAAATATTTTTCCGAGAATCATACAAGAATTAGTTGTGTGCAATTTATGTCCGCCAATTTTTAATGAAATACTCATGTTCATATTATGGAGAATAGTCTGGAGAATGCAGTACATTCATATTTTGTTTTTGATATGATGAAACCTGATGAGTTTGCCCAATCATATATCTAGTCTTGAATGATGTTGGTGGTTAGTTGCATATTTTTCCCGCAAAATAGGGTGACAACATCCGCAAAAAGGAATATATTAACAGGGTTTTCAACAATATTGCTTACTTCTTGTATTGCGATGAGGAATAACAGTACACTCAAAACAGAGCTTTGATAGAGACCATTCATTTTCTGTACTCGTTGAGATGTTTTGTCCTGGATTTGGACTTGAAAATATCTACGTGCTAGGAAACTCTAAAATACACCTAACTGGTATTTTGGAGATAATGGATGTAAATATTTTTCTGTGAAGCAATTCATAAAACTTTTCAATGTCTAATGAAACAGTAATAACATGTTGGTTCATGATAAGTGAATCACATAATATCTGTATTTATGTTTACTTGGTGGTGGTTGGTAGAACGATATAACCTAAAGCCATTTTTGGAAGGTAATAGAATATTTCTCGATTCCATAATCGATTTAAGGTGTTTACAAATTATTTTCTCTAAAAGTTTCCATATGTTACAAGTTAAATTATAGGGCGGAAGTTAGTTGGTTTTGAATGGTCCTTGTGAAGTCTGGGGGTCGAGATAATGACGACATCTCTCCATTAATCAAGGAAAGATTGGGTAATCCAAGGAAGGTTGTGTACTTGGAGGAGATAAAGAATTCTGGGAGATTCTTAATGAAGCTA